CTGTCTCAAAAAAAAAAAAAAAAGTTTGGCATTTCAGCATAGGACAGAATTCTACCATTTTCTTTTCTTATTGATTTTTTAGTATTTCAGTTAGTACCAAGGCCATTTGCTTTTTTACCCCCTAAAATGAATACACAGTTACTTTCTAATTATAAAAATAATACATGCTCATTATAAAAATCCAGGTCATAGAGGAAAGCTTAAAAATTACCCATAAGCCCACAGTCTGAGTCAGCCTTGCTTCACAGTTTGTGTATCCTTCAGACTCTCTCTGCATATGTACATACAGGGATATGGATTCTTCTCTTTCTCTTTTCCTTTTGTTTGGTCTATAATGACATTTTCATTTGTCTAAAATGAGACTGAACAAATCATAGGACTTTTCGTTTTTTTTCTTTAATTCAACTGTTACTCTTAAGAGATTCCTTTTTTGAATTCTAAAAGTCTTTGAGATTTGAGGTAATGCAAACATTGTTTTTTTTTTGTTTTTTTTTTTTGAGACAGAGTCTCATTCTTTTGCCGTGGCTAGAGTGCCATGGCGTCACCCTAGCTCACAGCAACCTCAAACTCCTGGGCTCAAGCAATCCTTCTGCCTCAGCCTCCCAGGTAGCTGGGACTACAGGCTTGCGCCACCTTGCCCGGCTAATTTTTTCTATATAGTTTTAGTTGTCCGATTAATTTCTTTCTATTTTTAGTAGAGACGGGGTCTCGCTCTTGCTCAGGCTGGTCTCGAACTCCTGAGCTCAAACAATCCGCCCGCCTTGGCCTCCCAGAGTGCTAGGATTACAGGCATGAGCCACCGTGCCGAGCCCAAACATTGTTTTTATATTAAAATATTTCATGCAAGGAACTTGCTCCTTGTTTAGAAAACTATAGCATGTTGGTTAAGTGCAGTACCTGGGGAGTCAGACTTCCTGGGTTCAAATCCCAGCTCTTACATTACAGCTCTTGCCTTGTGGCCCTGGATATGTTTTAATCCATTTGGTTGGACCCATTAACCACGTCATTGTCATGGACTGCTCTTTAAACGTCGCCTGCAGGAAATGTTCTGAAAGTCTGAAGGAAGTGTTCTAGAGGTACACTTCAAAACCTTCGGGAAAGGATTTATTGTTCAGTGACTGTCATAGATAACTGGATAACTCTTGGGAAGAAATAAATTCTCTACATCATACCCATAAATCACAATAAAACCTAGATGAAATTAAATCAAAGCAGACTGGATGAAAATATACTTGAATATTTTTGAAATCCTAGGATGAAGACTTTTCTAAGCGTAAAGCCATAAAACATAAAAGAAAATATTGATAAACTTAATACATAAAATTTTAAAATTCTGTCCTATAAAAGAATGCCATTATCAAAAGCCCGTGTTAAAATGACTTTTTATCTAGGAAGATCATTCTATGAATTTGTAGATAAAGTTGAGGGATGGCCCTGTAATCTCTCTTCTTTAGTGGTCATTGTAGGAGAATATATTGATTTACTAATTAGGCTGTGATTTCACCTTATTGGCAGTGCAAGTGGCATCTGCCTGTCCTGCTGAGTAATCCAGCCTGGTAACCAAGGGGGGGTTTATTCAGCCTTCACTATAAGGGAGTTCCCTGTGGTTAGATAAACTGATCTGTTGCTTGGTAACTAAAGGATTACTATGGTGGAGGAGCCCGTTTGAGAGGGGTTCGGGTATTTGGAGGGCAAGGAGGGCAAGAAAGTTGGCAAGTTCCTGGGAGCACTGCAGCTTGGCAGAGGAAGGAATTGAGCACCCGTCGCATGCCTGGGTTTAGAACAGTTCATCTTCCCATCTGCACTTGGCCTTTTTAGCACTGGGCCTCAGAACAAAGGAAAAGGAGACAGGGAGCTGGCTGAGGAACAACAGGGTCCTGTTGGGGTGGCTGTCGTGACAGCAGGTGAAACCCCTGTAGGGTTGGCCTCCAGGTTCTTCCACCCAAGGGAGAGATCTGGGTCTGGGAACGTGGGCCCCTGCTCACTGCTGGATCACCAAGAGCCTCTGCGTTAGCGGACTGCTGGGTTTGTGTCCCAAGCTGAAAGGACACTGACTAGAATAAAATGATGAAATAGCTAGGAAATGTGATCATAACCTGCAGGCGAGCAGGACCATCTCCATGACGTACTTTCTAGTGGCGTCCTCTCCCACGCAGCGTGGCCTTGAAGATCCTTAATAAACATTTCTGTTCAGTGGCTCGACATGTGCGTTGGCCATTCCCTTCCTCTGCCTCAGACCCGGCTGTTTGTCTGTGAAGGGGCAGGTTCTAAGAAACTGTGCAAGTGACCCCAGTAGGGGGCTTCAGAGGTGTGGTCTGCCCACCATGCAGGTTACCTACGTGTTGTAGGCTCTGGAGCCATCTCTTTGGCTTCGCCTGGTGGACTGCCAGGTGAGCACAGCGTGCCGCCCGAGCACCTTTGCTGGAAGATGCCCCTGCAGCCTGCACAGTCTCTGTAAGCAATTAGTATATCAATCGCCCAGGTAAGATTCTGGTTATTTATTTTGCTTAGCAGTGGTAGGAGCAATCATTGACGTGCTAAAGTTTAGGCTGGGGAGAATATTTTGACTGAAATTTTGCATATTTTGAAACTCAGGTTGTTACATTTAAAATTATGTGCATTGTGAACCTGGCTTCAAACAAGAGGGAAGAGAAGCATTCCTTCCTGTCAGAACCTTTCACTCTGTCTGTCATGTAACCTGACTAAAAATAAACTACAAGCACAAGAACTGGCAGGCTTCAGCTTGGAACAAGTGGAATATTCTCAGCTGTAGGCCTTGTCTCCGCTGCTTCCCGACCACACATCAGCCCTCCGAGGTCCGGACCTCCACCCGAGACTGCGGTGCACGTGGTCCACACAGGGCAGGCGTCCCAGGGATGGGATCGCTGCTGTTTGGGAAATGGTAAATGCTGTCAGCAGAGCCCTGGCCCGGCTGTCAAGAGCCACTGAGTCCGTCCTGGCTCCTGGGTGACCCTGGGGGAGGTGCATGGCTTCTCCAGACCTCAATGTCCTCATTTTCAACTGTGGTTGAAATCCACGTGCCAGCCACCAGCTAGCACTTTCTATGTTTTACTTCATCTAATTCTTACAGAGCTTTATGAGCTCCATTCTCAGTATCCTCCCCCATTTCCCACATGAAGAAACTGAGGCACAAAGCTGGAGTCGCTCATCCCATGTCCTCAGCTAATGAGGTGACAGAGCCACCCTGTAGCTCTGCTCTCTCCCCTCACCACTCCTTACTCCTTAGTCATCTGGCTCCCACCCCATCGTCCTACTGGAGCAGTCCTCATGAGACCACAAGGGACTGCTCCACATCACGTCATGGCCATTTTCCACCGTTGGTCCTGCTGGGCCTTCCTGCCTCAGCCGATCCTGCAGCTTGTTCTCTAGTGGGCAGCCTGGTGGGAAGAGGCAGCCTAGTGGGAAGAGCATAGGCTTTGAGTCCACCCGTCCTGGGGTTGCATCTTGGCTTCTGCACTGACTAGCTAAATGGTCTTGGGCAAGTTACTTAAACTTCTTGAATCTTAGTGTCCTTATTATAAAATGAGGAAAGTAATTATATCTACCTACCTCCAGCAAGGATTATAGGAGAAAATGTACGTAAATCACTTCACACAGAATCCAGAATGTCTTCCCTGTGTACTTCTAATCTTCTCGCTAAATCCTGCCCCTGACACATGCACACACCCTGTAAACTCCTAGCCCTTAAATATCTTCTCCTAATCATCCCCTTGTTTCAAATCTTTTTTTCCCCGCAAAGGTTGACTTTGTGTTTCTTCCTATATGTTAAAATAGAAAACAGCATTGTGTGACTGTAACCCTGTCCTCTGGAGTGTGATTATAAATCAGTGTTATTGCTTTAACCCAGTTATAATGAGATTCTACAAGCTTTCATAATCAGGTTAATAGCACAATATTAGTTTTGTTTCTAATTCTTGGGTTTTAAAGACATTCTGTTGTGTTTATTTATTTTGACCACAATTTCAGCCCAGTTAACTCTGATTATTACAGCAAAGAAGATGCTGTAAATACAGTAGTGGAGTGTAACATCTGCTTTTTGTAAGAATTCCATGAAACTATTACCCTAAGACACTGCCATTTTGAGTTTAAAGGAATTGCCAACAAGGCAGTGTGGATTTATCAGTAATTGTTTTATTGTTGTTTTGGGTAAAATCCTGTCTTAAGCATGATTTTGCTCATCAATTTTCATAATCATTCTTGTGTGTGATTGAACATTTACCAACTTCTTCCTCTGATCTACTGATCAGATGGTAAGATCGCTGTCTTTTGAGAACAGTTTCTGCGATTGAACATCTGAGGTTGATTTTCAACCTTTGGCATTTTCCGAGTGGATTAGGGCAGGTCTGTGTGGGCTGCCGAAAGTTGCTGGTGTAAGCCTTCATGCGGAATTGCTGGCCTGCATCCTGTGTTTGGGTTTTGCAGGGTCAGAAATATTTTTAAGCGTCTTTTCAGTCAATGAAGAGCATCTGACTCATAGCCCAGCCCTCGCCATTTGGACCCAGTTGGGCTGGGTGGATCTAGCTGGGCTCTGAGGCCCTCAGTTGCCCGGGAGGAGGCCAGTTGCTCTGAACTGCCTGAGGATTACCGGAGTGGCTGGCGTGTTTTCACTGCTTCATGTTGTTGAGTTTTAAGGTGGGTTTTTTCCCCCATCCTTTGGCAAACTGCTGTATCATACACCTCATTTGCCATCAGAGTATGAGGGTGTATAGTTCTTTTTTTCCCCGTGAAAACAACACAGAACAAAGCCTCGCTTTTAAAAATGCCATGATATTTTGCCACCGTTATGAAAATCTGTCAGCGCCGTATCTAATCTTCTGGTGCATAGAATATCAAAACAAGCACTATTGAAGGGATTGTACTTCTGTTAATACAAAAATGTCAGCTTCACAATCTCGGAACCAGCTGCCATCAGGCTCTTTCCAAATGGGAAAGAAAAAAATAATAAAGTTTCTTTTCCCTCTGCTGTTACTGTTCTTCAGGCCTGACCTTCATAAGAAGACCCGGAGTAAACACCACCTTGCTGAAATCTTACGTTCCGAATACTCAAGTGGGATGGAGGCCAGCGTTGCCAAGGTCAAAAAGCAAAACAAACACGAAGAGCCCGGCAGCCGACCGCTGCAGCTCAGTGTGCAGCCAGCGCCCTGTCTCGGCCATGGGAAAAAATTAAGAAACGGAAAAAAACCAAAAAAGGCTTACTGAGACATCGAGACTTCCCGGAAAGTTTTTTAAAAGTCTCCCTCCACAGGACTGGATCTTAGAGTGAATCCTGGGGGCCCAGTGGCACTGGTTTGATGTCCTCTTCTTGTCAGAGAAGCCCTGTGAAAACTAACTGCCGCCTCCCCCTGAATGCTAAGTCCCTAAGGCTCATGGGAGCCCCAGCCCTTGTCTTTGTGGGAGGAGCCCTGATAGAAACCAGAGCGGAGAGAGTCAGCACAGCGTAAAGTAGCCAAATAACTGCAGACGCTGTCTACGTCTTGTACTCATCCCGTCAGTGCCAGACATTTGCCTTCACCCGTGGATGAGATTGTGCCCACCACTTGGCGTGATGATGTCCCGTGCACCAGCCTGGCAGGGGCTTCCTGCCCCGTAGTAGTTCTGAGGAAGTTTCACAACTTGACTTCAGCCCTATCAATGCATATATTGGCTTGAATTTTGTGAAGTAGGATGTTAAAAACTGGATTTGAATTTGTAAAAACAGAAAAAGATAGTTATCAAGTATTCATTTTCTTTATGTACAAATGCTTTGTTAGACCAAAAGTTTTTGGTCTGGTTCAAAAGTACTAATGTGTTTTCAGGCACATTAGGTGCCCTCTTATTTTCTTCTAGAAACGTGCTTCTGTAAACACAATGTGCCATTTACATGCACTGCTCCTTCTTTCATGTCCACAGAAAACCCACTCTCTCAGGGCTAATTGATTTACTGTTGCCTTTTTATTATTTGCCTTTGAAGTCAAAAGGCACCAGCATCCTGAGCTGTTTTCCCCCCATCAAATTCCATCTTCAAGAAAAGTCTGGGGGTCTTTGTAATGTAACCCAGGCCACAGCTGCCCTCCCCCCATTGTGTTTTCTGGAAGGTTTGAAAGAGGCCCCCCGGAGTGCATTGATTTCCCAATAAATGTAAGATTTGGACACTTACAGAGGGGTCCAAAAAAGAAAGAGAAAAAACGCACAACACACACACACACAAAAATCCTCAGCTCCTCTGTCTGGGCATGGCTCCTGCCCTCCTCACCTGTCTCCCATCTCGGTTCTCTCCCTCCTTCCCTGCAGTTACTGCGCAGCCACCCGTGCTCTCCTAGGATGAGTGTGTTGAGGCACCACTTCAGTAAACTCCCAGACCCCCGTGAACTAAATGGCCAGGAGAGGGTGGTGAGAGTTGGCAAGATGGGCCTTTCTGCAGAGCACAGAGGGTCGGCATCCTCGCCTCCGTTCCAGACACCGTGCCAGCAAGGGCTCCAGCGTGGGGGCGGCTGTGACCCTCTGCCAGGGCAAAAACTGGACCTTCTCAGAGTTGGCAGTCACATACAAATTGACAGAGACCGTTGGTGAAACTTGTAATGATAATAAAAAGAAAGCGCAGCACACGTCAAACTGGCTTTGGGCAAATCTGCCACCTTTCTTTTATTTCAGCGTGTAATGCTTCACATGATGTGGATGAGAAGAGGAGGGATCAAACTTTATAGACAAAACCCAGCTGTGTGAAAAACAGGATTAATGCCAGTGATTGGAGTTGATCAAAGAGAAACCTTCCCTACGTTTTCTTTCCATAGTACTCATGCCACAAAAGGGTGAATTGGCAGAGATCTGCATTCCTGTGGGGAGAGAAGTGCTGGGACGGTGCAAAGTGTAAGTGACTGTAATCCCAAGATCCAAACTTACACACCTGCCATGCTAACTCTGAGGTGAGGGTTTCTTGCCGTAGATGCTATGTGGGCCTGTTTCTAAGTAGAATCATTATATTACCCCAGTTAATAAAGAAACATGGATTTAGCAGATTTGGGGTTAATATTATTTAAATTTAAATAACCTTAAAATAAATCTCTTTCTCTTATTATGGCTCTTAACAGATTATATATTTGAAGCATCAATTAGGCAAAGCTTTACCTAATTCCATTGTACATAATTAATTTTTATGTGTATTTTTAATCGTGCCTCTTTTTTAAATTTCCCAAACTTGTCCATGTTTCTGTGCCTCAAGCCTGGTTCCCATATTTAAAGTCACAAAGGATTTGGGCATTTAATGGAATTTTGCAGCTGAAAGCTTTTTTCTCTGGTGGACTTATAGAATGCTCTTTCGGGATCCAAAACATCGTCATGTTTGCAATCCCTGGGGGCTGCCCATCTTCAGAAGGGCCCCGTCCCATTCTCACGCACTGAAGGGCCCAGAGCCCTGGGTGAGAGATTAAGTCGGTGCTGATACAATGCAAACAGCATTTTCCACTCTTAGAGCAGCAAAGAACCAACCAAATCTGAGCAAAGGATATTTTTTGACAAAGCCTAGTGGTTTGATTTTTTTCTTTTCCCTCTGGAGTGAAGGGAGGTGAGATTTGGGGAAGAGGGGAGTAAATGAGACCTTTTAAGGCGAGTATATGACAAACTGCCAGTGGCCTTGCCATTTCTCACGCTTCAGCCCTTCAACACGTGGTCAGTGGAAGCCATTCGAATCCAGCCATCACTTTCTAGAGGCAAGAAATGTAAGGCTTTTCCACTAGTTGCCCTGCTTTGAAAAGGGTTCTTAACTGGTCTTTTTAAATCACCTCCATGACCATTATACTTTATCTCTTAATCTGCCCCACTGTAGGAAAAATCCAGAGCAAGGCCTGTCAGTGTGGGGGCAGTCGGACACCCTTAAAATCAGCTAACATTCTTAATTTCCAGAAGCCTTGCAACTGAGGCCTAGTAGGGCAACCTAAAGTTCTTTTAAACTTTGTTGCCCCTGCCCTTTTGAGTCTAGGTTGACAAGGGGGTGGGTCGCTGGAGGAGCAGAAGATGCCTTCTCTGTGCCTCTCCTATTGTTCAGCCCGTGGGGGTCTCACATTCATTTCTATTTTAAATGAGAGCTCCCCCAGGCCCAGGGTTGAGAACAGAGAAACCAATTCAGCCTTCTAAGTGCATGAAAGCAGAAGCCCACCTCACTGTGAAGGTGGTGAAGTTATTATTACGGATGAGATGTGCAGGACAATTTAAAATATTGTAATTATAAACTTGTAGGGAAGCCTTGTTCTTCATTAATGTAAGATATGAAATCGCCTCTGAGGTACAAGGACAATTACATAGTTGAGAATGTGTCTGTGATTTACACTGCCGCTGTGTAAATGTAAGGGTGGTTGCTCTAGTCTACCTCCTTCACTTTCACAAAATGAAAAGCACACCAGTGCAAGTTGTCCTTTGATAGATTTTTAATATGATTTTAAAGAGTTTTGTTTGGTCTCATTCTTATTCAATGAGATTAATTTAAAGCACTTATCCCCTGGGTTTAAGTCAATCCATGTAGGATTTGGGCAGGGTTTGTTGCATGGGGGGTTTTGTTTGCAGGAGGCTATGAGAGACTCCTTTCCCACTTCATTAACCCTGAGTTGGGGACAGTCCCTCCTCGCCCCCCACCACAGCCAGAGCTGGGGATTTACCAGCCCCCATTCACATGCAAAAGAACTCAAAAGCCAGGGGCTCCTTGACTTAATTAGCTGCTGTGCATTTTGCAAAATTAGAACAATACCCTCTCTATCCCAGGAAAGAAAAGCTGCTGTGAGGGTGTTGGGGGGCGGGGAGGAAACAGTAGCAGACCTGGCCGCGGGTCTGCTGTTCAGAGGGGTTATAGTCTGCACGTCCCCACCCCTCCACCAGGCAGTCCTCCCAGGAGCAACCCTGCCACAAGCCTAGAGGGGGCTCGGCTTGCTAGGCCCCAAAACGTCCTAGCCCTGAGGGCCAGTGAGCTGCAGGTGGTGTGTGGGAGGGGAGCACCTGCGCCCACCTCCCCAGAGGGAGCAGTCTCGGAGGTGACCTTGGCCCTTAACGTGAACTGGGGGCCTGGAGTCTGACTCGGGAATTAATCCCCCTCCCCTGGGATCCTGTAGCCACGGGCTGGTGCGGCGAGAAAGGATGGCGCAGACGTTGGGATTCGCCTCCCCTCCGGGTCTCATTTCCAAACTACTCGCGGTGTAAAGCGGGGAGTGAGAAAATGCGGGCGCGGGGGGCGGTTACCCGATGTGGCGTCACGTTCGTCGGTCGGCTAAGGCGCGCTGAGTCCCACCGCACTGGAGGCCGGGCCGCCCGGGCGCCCGCGAGCGTCGGAGCCGGGCGCGGCCGGCGCGGGGCGGGGCGGGGCGGGGGGAGCAGCCTCGGAGCCCATCTGTCGGCCCCGCGCCCGCGGGCCGGTCACCAGCTGCCGGGGCCCTCGTCGCGGCCAGATGCGTCGGCTCAGCCAGGGCGCTGCGGCCCGGCCCGCGGTGAGGCCGGGCGCTGACCCCCGCCCCGGCCCCCGGGACCGTCTGGGAGCAGCAAGGAACCAGATGGAGAGGAAGAGGGAGGCGGGGAGAAGGGGCTCGCCTCATTGCAGAGATGGGAAGACTGAGGCCAGGAGCGGGACCCTGCCCAAGGCCCCAGCGAGTCCAGTCGGGGCCCCTGCACACGGCCACAGCACCAGGGAAGAGGAGGGGGACACGATTGTTTCCTTACTGAGGATGGGAGGAGAGCGAGTCCCGGGAGAGGAAAATGGTTCTTAAGGAAGGACGGGAGAGCGGCTGGGGTGCAGACAGACCGACGGGAGCGGGGACAGGCGCCTGGTCATTTGTAAGAAGTTTATTTTGACATTTAAAAAAACCCGACAGGCCTGGCTGCCCCGGGACGGGGGCTGGGGGTGGGGACTGGGGTCAGGTGGGTGGGCGAGCCCCCTCGGCCCCTTCCTGCCCAGCCTGGGAGGGGGGAGGGCACAGGCCACAAACTCACTAATTCACGGACACGGTCACGGGCTCATGGGTCACGAATAAATAACTTCATATACACTTTGCACACGGTATGTACAGCTCAGCCGCCGGCCCGCGCCGGGAGGCGGGAGGGAGCGGGGTGGGGGGCTCTGCACGCCCTTCTCCTCTCCCTGGCAGGGCCTGGGACGGGGTTGGTCCCTTGCTGGAGCGTGGAAGGGGAGTGGAGGGAGCAGAAGCTTGGGCGCGAGCCCCACATGCTCCTGGGGAGAGAGGGGGCGCCTAGGGGAGGCGGCAGAGACTGGGGGCCGGGGCGGGGAGGGACGGAGACGTATGTACACCCGGCGGTGCAAGTGGCTCCCGGAGCGAGCGGCCGGGAGAGAGGACGCCCGAGGAGGGCTGGGGAGGCGAAGTCCGGGCTCCGGGCCTCAGAGGGCTTGGCATTTGGCCGGTCGGGAGCACTGGGCAGCGCCCCCCTCCCGGGAAGGGGCGTTGAACCCCGCGCCCTCCGAAAGGCGGCGGGGCCCTCACCGAGGCTGCGCGGCGCGCGGGAGGACGCCGGCCAGCGGGGGCAGCGGCGGGGGCGGCTCGCCGGCGCCCTGGAGTCCGTGGATGAGGATGCGGGGCACCAGAGGTCTCTGCAGGGCGGGCGGCGGCGCGCTGGGGCCGCGGTACAGGTAGAGCGCGGCGCCGGGGTCCAAGTTGGAAACCAGGCTCTGCGGGTAGAAGTAAGGCGACGGGAACATCCGCTGCAGCGCTGAGTAATTGCCTGCCTCCGCCAGCAGCTCCAACCCGACGGCCGTCTGTCGCTTCCATTTAGTCCTGGGGACCGAAATAAACGCGTAGGACGGCTTCAGAGCTAGGGCATCCGGCGACCCCATCCCTCCCGACGCTGGGCCCAGAGCGCATGCAGGAAGGCCCAGAGCGATCGGGCTACCGTCAATAAGTAGCAGCGCCAGGCACTGCTCGGCTCGCGCGCCTTTCGCGCGTCTCTCCTTTAACCTTCCACAGGTCTCGCATGGCTTTTATCCCCATTTTACACGTAAGAAAACTGAGGTGTGGGCCAGTTTTCGAGATCGTCTGGAGAGCGGTGTGTTCTAAGCCGGACTGTCTGACCCCAAAGCCTGGCTCTAACCTCGCCATCCTCTGCTCCGGAGATCGCTGAGCTGAGCGGGCCCTTGGAGCTGGGAGTTGGGGCTCCCCTGTGTATCCATCCCCTGGGGGACTTTGTGAAGGCGGGATCGCCCTGTAGAGGGCAAGGGAACGGAGGGTGGTCGGGCAGCTGGTCCTGGACAGGGGCACGGCTGATTGTCCCACTGAGGGGCCAGCGGAGGCAGGTACTGCTGAGTACCTGCCACTGGAAATGGTGGCTGGGGCCCACAGCACCCTCCCAGTGCCACAGCAGGGCGGAACCTGCATCCTGTCTGGCCCCACAGTGAGGAGGCTACAGGCTGGCCATCCACCTGGCGTTTGGGGAAGGTGGGCCTGGACCCCCGGGCTCACCTGCCAGGTGAGGTGAGGCATGCCAGCCAGGGTCCCACCGAGCTGGACTCAGCTACACCAGGCCCATTTCCCTCCCTGAATTATTCATCATCATCATAATTGCGTAATTACTATAACGGGCCTTAATTATTGATGCCCGGAGCAGTAATCGGTATCTATTATTAATGGGGCGATGTGTTCTGAGGCTTGTTTATGAACAGCACGGGGTGATTGTGTGTGTGACGGTAGGTTGTTTCAGTGTGTGTCAGTGTGTGTCGCTATGTGGGTGTGTGTTTTGTAAATGTGTATCTAAATCTGGTGAATGTGTTCAGGAGGGAAATCAGGAAACAGGTTCAAGACCAGTGCCCCAACGCCAACTTCCCAGTCACCCTGTCCCCAGGGAGCTGAGGCTAGGCCAGTTCCCACCTCAGGTTTGGGACCCGAAAGGCTGGGGAGGCCAGAAGAGCTCAGCAGAAGCTCTGAGCCGCCTGCAGCAGCTGCCTAGCCTGGGCCGGGCCGCGTCACCATAAGGGCTGCTGCGAGCTTGTCCCTGGTCCACAAGGCTCTCTGGACACCAAGGCTGTCACCCCTCCCATGGGGCTTCCCCTGGAAGAGCTCAAAGGCCCCAAACAAGACCCAGGCTAGGGCTGGTTCAGGTGGGGCGTGCTCCCTGAAGGACCTCCCGGCAGGGGTAGGGCAGGACTTGGACCTCTGATGGCCCCTGTGTCCATCCGCCTGTCTTGGAGAGGGTTGAGTAGGCACAGGAGACCAAGTCTAGTCCTGTCTCTGTTCCTCACTGTGGGAATTTGGGCAAGACCGTCTCCCTTTAGGGCCTCAGTTTCTCCACTTTTACAGAATGGGGGAGGCTCAAGGGCCCTCCCTTGGCGCAGGCTGTGGACTGTGGTCTGGCTCTAGGAGCTGTGAGGACCAGCTCCTAGGAGGGGAAAGAGCCATTCCACTCCCAGCCTGCCCCCTGGCCTCACCTGCGGTTCTGGTACCAGGTCTTGACCTGCGTGTCGGTGAGGTTGAGCGAGGCGGCCAGCTCCATGCGGTCCTGCACGCTCAGGTACTTCTGCCGCTCGAAGCTGCGCTCCAGCTGCGCCAGCTGATGGTCGGTGAAGGCCGTGCGCGCCTTGCGCGGCTTTTTCAGGCGCACTGGGGGACTGTCCCTGGAGCTGGAGATCTCACGGTCGCCCTCCTCCTTCACTGCGAACACACAATGGCGTGTCAGGGCCGAGCCTCGCTGCCAGCCACCGCCGCCCGAGCCCTCTCACCCCAGCCGCCGCAGGCCCGTTGCATTTGTGTAAACGCAGCTCCCCATCGCTGTGGTCCCGCGGCACCCAAGAGTGTGGGGACCGCAGCAAAGCCACTCAAAGAGGACATCCAGGCCCTCGGGAACAGGGCGTGAGCCCTGACAGAGGGGGACAGTGGCAGGAGCGCCTGAGGCCGAGACGCACTAGCAGCTCCGTGCAAAAAGAACCCAAAGCCTGAGAGAACTTTATCCGATTTCGCGGCACCCATATTCCCTGGAGAGAGAAACGGAGCCACAGTGATGGAGCCAGACCCAACCTGCGGGAGCCGGGAGGGGCTCAGGGTTCCTGGCAGAGTGGGCTCCGTGTCTGGTCCCCGTTTCCTCAGCTGCGCTGTGACAGCGAGGGAGGGAGAAAAACCCGTGTGGAAGGACAGAAACCCGCTCACCCCAGAGCAGTTCTTGTCCTGAAGAACAGATAATTGTACCACACCTCAAGTTGCTCCTATAAAATGCGAATCTATGGCGATGGTTTTCCTTGACACTTTCGCCGCCTACAAACCGTGCGGGGTGGAAGGCCGGGTGCCGGGATCTGAGAGCGCAAAGCACTTGGAGAAATAAGCGACTTTGTGACTCTGCGGGCGCTTGCCCCTCGGGCTCGCACTCTGTGTTTCGATGTCATTACACTGCCCACCGTGGCTGCCACTGCACCTTCGTGCCAGTCGTGTGTTTACACCCCACAGTGGGGACAGAACTGCACTGGGGGGCCCAGCTCTGGAGACCCAAGAATGGACCGGACACGGGTGGTGTCTTTTTTCCCAACCACTTTTCGTTCAAGGGTGACTGCACAGAAAACTCACACTTAATTGAACTTAAGGCTCACCCTCCTTCTCCCCTAACACGATTCTATAACCAAACAGACCAATTCTCCAAAACCGGGCTCCTGGGCTGGGGCCTTCCCCCACGCCCTACCCCATTTTTCTCTATTTTCTTTTATGGTGAGTTTCATTGTGTGCGGCTTCTCAGTGACAGGGGTCAGCTGAATGCAAGTTGATTTCTCTCTGTAGGAAACAATAATCCAGTTAATTGAGCCACTGGGGAGTGAGACTTCAACCGGAAAGGCAGCGCCGCGCTGCAGGGAGGGTGCCGGCACTGGGCGCACGGAGGCGGCTGAGCGAGGAGAGCGCCGGCCAGAAACCTCGGGGAAGCTTTTTTCTCCCGCATCCTCCAGGCCAGTGCGGCTCCCCCTGCTCCGCTCCGCACGTCTGGCCGTGGCCAGGTCAGGGGATGGGCCTCTGTGTTGCAGGATGGGGGGAGCTCGAGCTCTGTCTACACAGGCAGGCAGTTTAAACAAGTTGGAGGAAACAATCATCCGAACCTCAAACTGGATATTGCAAAAATCTTACTTTTTGACCTAATTACCGGGACTGTTTATGAAAACCCCCCACTTCTCAGGGCCGGGGTCTGAAGTGGGGGTGAGGGTGTTGAGCTGGTGGTGTCAGGAGAAATGGGTCAGCCGCTGGGGTTTTTCTCCAGTCACTCCGGGGAGCCTGTGGGTGCACGATCTGTGCCCGCTCTGCCTTAACCTCCCGGACAGGCTCAGCCCAGCGGCTTTCTAGACTCTGGTCTGGAGGGTACATTTCAATGTCCAGAGTTCTGGGGCCACCACCCCTGCCTGCGTGGAGCAGCGTACTGGTTTGCTTTCTCCACGGACGTTGGCTCCAGCACTACTGTTGCCGAGTTTCACCTTCCGAGCCGGGTTTCAGTTTCTTTAAATATTATGTTTGAGGAGCCTTTGACACCAGAAACTTGGGATGAGACTGGCCTTCCCCCATGCCCTCCTTGGAGGAAATGACTCATCTTGGGAGGTAGCTGGGGAATTTACAGGCTTAAAGGACGGAGGGGCTCACCGTGTGTCTCTCTCAGCCAGGCTTCCTAACTGGGGCTCTGAGAGGCTCCTCCACACGCAGCCTTGCTCAAGGTTGCCACACCTTTTTCCACGCGGGGCTTTGTAGGTGCAAAGGCAGCATCGCCTAGGGGTGGGGGTTGGGAGAGACCTTCTACCCCCTCTGCTCCAAACCTATTTAGAGCATAGTGGCAGGCTAGCCTTTGTCACCTCCCTGATCACATATCATCGGGGACAGGAGGAGAAGATTGATATTCCAATTACCATAAATGAAACCTCTCCTTAAAATCCTACCTGAGAGCAAAGAAATAAAAGGAGCCAAGAGCCAAACTGTTTCACCGCTGCCACCACCAGCCATTGGCATGTGAGGATGGAGATTCTTGCTCCTTGCTCTAACCATAAAGCTGGGGTGTTATTGCAAATTGCAAATGATAAACATAGTATTATAAATATATATATTCACATCGCCTTCCTATCCCTGCTATCCACACCTGGGCAAGTTTTTCTTTGCTTCTCTAAACAGGCCTTGTGGGGGAGCAAGGGTGGCTGGGCCGAGGTGCGGGGCTCCGAACACCCAAATGCCTCTGGGTCTCGTCCCAGATGCTCCAGTTCAACCTGCCCATTTTCCAGGCACGGCTGGCCCAGCCTGGCTGAAGGAGGCTCAGCCATTCATGGGGCGAATGGACAGAAATGGGATCTGGAGTGGGACCCCAAATGGGTTTTGGTTTGGGATCAGGACATGTCCACAAACGAATTCTTGGTTGGGAGGAGAGTGTTCAATGAGCCTTCCCAAATTTTTTGTGAAGGCTTGCTACAAATAGGGGCCAGGAGGTATGGGGACCCCAGGGCAATAATGAAGTTGCCTTAATAGGCATATTTTGCCTCCTGAAAAAGGTTCTGGGAATTAAGTATATGAAAGAGCTCTGAACAGCCTCTGCCAGCTTCTAGCTTTCTGCTGGATGGGGACGCAGGGCTGTCTCCCCCAAGCCCTGACACTTCTCCTCACATCTGCCTCTTGACTTCTTCCTTGGAAAGAAGTTTGTGCCTCTGGCCCCAGCAAACAGCTAAAGTGGAAGTAGTGGCTAGGGGTCAGAAACAAAATTAGGAAACTCCTTCCTTCTTCTCTTTCTCTTTCCTTTTTTTCTTCTTTCCTCCTTTCTTTCCTTCCTTCTTTCCTCTTAATCTTGATCTCAGCTCCTTAGTTAAGACAGAATGAAAAAGGAACAAACAAACAAAAAAAGGCAAGTGAAGGGGCAGCTGCCCCAACAGAGGGGAAACAGGACTGGTCACTCAGGAATTTCTAGGTCCCAAATACAACGTGGAGTTTATTGCACAACGCACTTAAAATCGAATTCAGTGAGAACTCCTGGGGGGGTTCAGGGTGCTCCCCTCTCCACCAGACCTCTGAACCAGCCCGCCCGCCTGGCTGCCGTTGCTACTTTGAAGTCAGTGTTTTCTTTTGCATGATTCACAGGACCCAGATCGTGCTGGGCCCAGTGGGAGGGAAAGCCCAGTTTCTCTTCCTGTCTGGAAATTTAGATTAAGGGGTGGAAAATTCTGACTGTTCTCAGGGTTCCAGCTGAAATTTTCCTGCTAGGTTTTCTCTCTTATAGACAGAACCCTTTGGGTCTTCCATGATTTCTGCGAGGGCTCTTCCCAGAGCGCCACTGTTCTGGTAGGAACCTGCTCCTGCCCACCAGCACCGCTGGAAGGATGTGGCCCCAGTTGAAGTTGATAAAGTTTGCTTTGTACATTCTGGGGAATCTCTCCTCAGGCACAATATCCCTTCCCCACCCCCGCTCTCTCCACCGGACCCTGTTGCCCTAAGGCACGACCCCGGGACTGGCCGAAATGCTTGCACCAGGCCTGCCGCTCAACCCGAGCCGCTGGAGAGCTCCAAGGTGAGCATGTGCATGTCCCCGAGTGTGTGCATACAAGTTTTAAATGCCAGTTTTTAGATACATAACATTCCCCTAAGTTTTCGGCTCCCGTTTCCTTACCTTTATACTCAGAGTCTGACGAGGCATTGCTGCCACTTTTGTCCAGCTTGTCTCTAAAGTCCTCCCCAGCCTTGGCGGCAAGACGGCCCCCAGGCTCAGGGGCTGCCGGCTGCCCGCTGCTAGAGTAGGGTGCACAGGCCGCGAGTGGTTTACAGTCGGCAAGGATGTCCCTGATCAGAAAGGAGGAGGTGACGGTGCGCGACTGGGCCGGCGCTGAGAGCTGCCCCGGCTGCAGGTGGGAGTCCAAACCTGGGCCGGATGCCCCACCAGGCCGCGGGGTGCCTGTCTCCAGACAGTCCCTTCCTGGAGAGGCTGGCGAAGAGCAGTCGCTGCTGCTCTCTGAGCGTGGACTCAGCTCCAGGGGCGAACGGCAGTCCCCGAGCAAGGGGTCCCCCTTGGGAAGGGCGGGGCTGCCCGCGCGGTGGGAGAGAATGGAGTCGATCCCAAAGCCATTGGAGCCTTCCATAGCCAAGCTGCGACCTGTCCTCCCCAAAAGCTCCCCACCCACCCCCAACCCCAGCCGCCGCTGCCCCTGCCCCTAGCTGCGGGCTGGCATGGGGAAGGCGGGCAGGGAGCCTGCGGGCACCTTGGACGGAGTTCAGCCTTGGGGGAGCCCAGGAGCTCTGGGCCAACCTCCTCTGCGCATTAGATCCAAAAGGGCTCAGCGCGTCTTCTGCAGCATCGCGCCGAGCCGCCGAGCCGAGGGGGGGTGGTGGGAGTGTCAGGAGGAATGGGAGGGAGGGCGCGCCAAGTTGGGGAGAGCAAAGGGGGAGACGGACGGCCCGAGGGCCCCTTTGGCACAGAAGAGACGCGAGGATGTTGTCATCTAAATAAAGAATGGCTTTTTAAAAATCCAAACCGCACGCTTCCTCCAGGCAAGCGGTGGCCGAGGGCGCGGGATCAGCACCGCGGATAGCGGCGGGCGCGGGCCGCCCTAGCAGACGGCGGAACGGAGCGCACCTGGCGGCATCAGCACCGCGGATAGCGGCGGCGGCGGCGCTCGACTCATCGCGCGGCACCTGGCCGGGAGGTCCTCGCTCGCGCCGCTGCGCCCGGGGGCCGTCAGCACCGCGGACAGCGCCGGCGGCTCCTCGGCTGCGCTCGCGGCCGGTCCGCGCGCGCCTTCGCCTCCCCCCCTTCCTTTAAAAAATGAACTTGTGTCACTTTTACTTTGGGGCTGGGTTTTTTTTGGTTGTTTCTTTTTTTTTCGTTGTGTTGTGTTTTTTTTAAAGGGGACTCGCCCACGTGTCCCCGGAGTGATGACGCTGATTGGCTCCGTCGATTTTGGGGGTGATGTCACGGCTCCGCAAGCCGCTGCCCGGTTCCCTTTCAGTTTGATTAAAAGAGACACTGAATTAATTACAGCACAGACCCAACTGTTTACCGGCGATTTCCACACGGTTTGCTTTCATTAGGCGGGGGTGCAGCTCCCGGGGGTGACGGGCGGGGCGGGGGGGGCACGCCGGCGGGGAGGGGCCGGAGCCCGCGCCGCCACCGGGGGGCTGGGACGCGCGGTTGTTGTTTTAGTGTCCCCTGGCCCTTTCCCACGATTACTCAATTATTTGCCCGCAGGTATGTCGTAGGTCCTCTTTCTTCCTCCAGCACCAGAAAGGGACTAAACCCGGCGGAGAAAGAAGCGCCTGTGTACCGAGAACCCCTTTCCAGTGTGGGGAAGAAATTTTAATTGGTTACGTTGTTGTCGGGGCGTTTCCGTTGGGTTCTAGATGCTTCCCGCGTAGCACAATTTTCAGCCCTCCCTTCCTGGCCGCTTTGGGCCCGGCGGGGCTGGCGGGTGGGAAAGCCTGGTGTCCGCCCGGAAGTGACCACAGCGACGGCTTCGCCCTCGGGCGCGGGCGGGTAACGTGGGCAGACCGTGTCTGGGGGGAGACCCTGAGACATCCGCGCGGCCCGAGGGAGGCAGCGCGACCGACAAAGAAGCAGTGAGCTCCCTCCCCAGCCGATGGCGGCTCCTGGATGCACGTCCCGGGAGGGAGCACCGGGTGTTCGTACCTCCGAATGGGAACGCGCACGAGCTTCGGGGTGCGAGTGTAGGAGTGCGGGTGTAGACGTCTGCGAACGGCTTCTCACTCGCGCGCAGCCGGAGCTCCCCGGGATGTGTTTTCAAGGCAGCGCTGGGACCCTAACCTCGCTGCGAATGACGCGCCCCCTCGCCCCCCACTCCGCCCTGGAGCTCTAGCGCCGCGCCCTTCCGGGGTCAGCCTCGGGCGGTGGCCCAGGACGGCGGGCAGACCCGAAGCGCGCGCTCTGCGCCCAGCCGCAGGGTTCGACCGTGACCCGGCCTGGGGCCGAAGCGCGCAGGGAGCAGAGCCCACGCGCCTGCAGCGGGGATGCGGCGGGCCTCAGGGCCCTGCGCCGGCCTTCCCAGCGCGCCCCTCGTGTTCCTGCCTCCCCCTCCCCGACCCCCAGAAAGCCACCCGGGCCCCCGCGTCTGGCTCAGCGTCTGAGGCCGCAGCGGAATCCTGAGGCACCCGAATCCCCCCAAGCCCGGGGCCCGGCCCGGGGCAGCCCCGGGCGGCCAGGTGGAGCAGAAACTTTCTCCTCGCTCGGCGAGGTCGGCGGTGGCCTCACGCCCGGCCCGGCGCTCTCCCCCTGCGCCCGCCGGCAGATTGGAAGCGGCCCCGCCGGCCGGGCTGGGGGCGAGGACAGGCGGCTCCCCGGGGACCGTGGCCCGGCTCGGCTGCAAGCTGTCGGGAAGGCGGGGCCCCCGGGCCCTGGGTCCGCGGCGCTGCTGTGGGCGCCTCCCGCGGTGGAGCCGAGCCCGCGGTCGTTCATTTCAGTTTGGTAGATGGGGAGGGGACCATAAATCATGAGGAGCGGGGACTGCTCCGGCCGTTCCAGGCCAGCCCCCAGCCTGGCCCTTGCTCCTGCTCCGGGCGCCTCTGGAGACCCGCTTCCTTCCCAAGCGCCCACTCCTCCTCTGCTCCTCCCGGCCTGCGCCTCGCACCCCGGGAGGACCTCATCTCCCTGGGAGCACCCTAGGTCCCCGCTTAGGTCGACAGGACTCTCCTTCCCACCGCCAGTTAGCGGTGGTTTCGCCCCTGGGCGAAGATGGATGGGACGGACCGGGCCCCGAGAGCGTCCTCCGCTTGCCGGAGCGTCCTGAGCGCCCCTGCCCGGCTGACGTGCAGCCGGCAGCGCTGGGACGTTTTCTGGCCTCTGGGGTCCCGTGCTGGGGTTTGGATCCCGGACCCAGCAAAAGCGAAGCCTGGGAAGGCGCTGGGTGCTGCGGCCAGATCGGAGCGGTAGCAGGGAGTAGGGGCAGCCAGGGACCTCCCGCGGTCCAAAGGACCAGCATGGGCCCCACCGACTGCAGCACCGGCCGGCTTCGCTGCACTTCTTGGGGCCCAAGAATATCAACGGGTCGTTAGTATGCTATCATGAGTATTGAGTTACTGCCACTATTACGATATAAAACATGCTATGTGATTTATCTCGTTTGGAGTTCACCCTAGGATTTAGCCCTCACTCGCTGACATCGCCTTATTCCTGTCTGGGGACTTCCAGCTCCGCCAGGCGCCACCTCCTCTCTCTTTTCCATCTCTGGGTGGTTCTTGCGTCTCAGCCTGGTCACAGCCTAACAGGTTTGTGTAGGCTCACCTGAGCTCTTGTTTAGCTGTGGAGCCCAGGAATTGGCATTTTCCTAAACATCCACGGGATCCTTGATCCACCCCACCCTCTGGGAAGGAAGCCTGGTTGGACATGGTGGGGTATCCATCCGGACTTTGAGGTCCAGAGGAGCCGGCTGTGAACCTTGGCGAGTTGCCTGACCTCCCTGAGCTCCTGTTTACACAGCAGGAGGCAGACCTCTCTCGCCAGCCCCAGCCCTAGCCCCCTGCCCTTAGCAGTTCTTGGCCCCCTCCCCAGGGGCTGGCTGAGGGGCAAGGGTGTGGGGGCCTGAAGGAAAGGAAAGGAAATTAGTGTTATCAGGGCACTTCTAGGGCCAGGCTCCCAGGACTACTCAGTCTTCACCAAGGACCCAGAATTGCCCTCCCCCCCCCCACAGCCAAATCCCCTGTTCTGGGCTCTCTTTTCAGGACCCCAACCCCCACCCCTACCCCCCGCAGCTGCCCACTTTCTCTTGAAATCTCTTGCTTCAAATTCCAGTCCCTGCCCGCTGGTCCTTTGAGATTGCTTTCTTTTAAACCTTTAGCCTCTTGATGGACCCAGAGCCCTAGAAGGTCCAAGACCACCCACCCACAGAGAGAGGACCACAGAGAAGGAGCTGTTGCTCTTCTCCAGGGCTGGGACAGGCAGCTTCCTGGAGAAGCCCTCAGAAGGCCCTGGCTGCTCCCTGTCTGGACAGCTCATCTCTGCTACGTGGTGAGGTGGGGAGGGGCAAGGGTGGGAGAGGCCATGGTGTAGAATCTACGTCCTTCTCCACCTGGGGATCTTGGCTTGGGTTTGGCTTTGAGTCAGGGGTGGCCGGGGAGAGCCTGTGCCTCGGGCTAGGCCGTGGCTTTTACCAACACTCCTTCTCCCAGCCCCTCCTCTCTCTGCACTGAACACCCCTCAGCCCTGGAGCTAGAGAAGGGGCTGCTTTTGTTGGTTTTGCTCACCTTGCTCAGCAGGCAGAGCCTCACAGAAAGTCTGCTCAAAGCCTTTTGAGAGTAATCCTAGGTGGTCTCTGCTCCCATTTGAATTGTGGCTTAAAGGACACCACTCAAGCTTCTGAGCAGCTGGGTCTGAGGCAGCTTGTGGTTGGGGGGGCCGGTTAGGATACAGACTTGAGTTAGAATCCTGGCTCTGGAATTCGGGGCTGAGACTATGGTAAAGC